TTATGCCCCTCATTCAATCTCACCCCTCCCCCCGCCCCCTCCCCCTTCTAATTACCCTATATTTCTTCTCTCCTTGTGAAAGAATGATGGTTACTCTGTTGATTTGTTGCCTAAATGATCTGTCCAATGCTAAGAGGTGTGATCAGGTCCCCCAATATTATTGTAGAGCTGATGCTTTTTCTGTTACTCTGGAATGGGCTTTGTGGAAAGAGACATCCTCTTCTTTTCTTTACTTCTGCTGGTGACTCTCCTTGTGTCAATGCACTCCAGTGGCTGGAAGACCATCTGTGTGGCAGTTGTGGTGTCTAGCTGCTTTCCCAGCAGCCATGGTTATTGTGGTGGCTGTGGTGGGCCACCCACTTGGAGGTGATGTCTTTGGCATGCTCCTTGGTGCTGGTGGTGTGCCTTGTTGTGGTGGGGTTTGGTCCCCAGATACATGCCTTGGGTCCCATGGCAGCCCCCGAGGTGCTGGTGCATTGTGTCTGGTTGTGGGAGGGGGCTCTGGTCCCTGGGTCCATGCCTTGGGACCCTGGGTGGGCCCTGAGGTGCTGGCGCAGTGTGCCACATTGTGGGAGGGGGTCCAGTCCCCAGCCTCATGCCTCAGGTCCCAGGCATGCCTCAAGGCACTGGTGATGTGCCTGGTTGAGGGGAGGGGGCTCCGGTCCCCAGCTCCAAACCTCACATCCCTGGGCAGACCCAAGAAGCTGGCGGTATATCTGAGCCAGAACTAATTTTTTTGTCTTTTGATTACTTCCAAAATGGAGAAACTTCCTGTTGGGACCAGTACTTTAGCTGTGTGGTTTAGCTAAATTGCTGTTTCCCTAGGGAAGGCTTTTTGTGTAGCACAGGTTATAATGGTTGACTTTATAGGTACTTCTGGCTCTCCAGAGACTCGGTGTACTTTCGTTGTGTAGTAACTCTGATCTGGGCCTGAGTTTTTCATCAAACTGCATCCCATGGAATTCTGTATTCCTGACCAGTCTCCTCTGAGTGGTCCTGTGTTGATTGGGGTGCCGATCAGCTGTCCTTGCTATGCACCAGGGGGCTCATCTCCCCCACTACCCATGCCGTAAACACTTCCAATGGGATGGGCCACACACCAGTCCCTTGCGATGACTCACCGGCCTCTGAATGGCTCCATTTTTTCAGTTGTTGTGGCTCATCACTCCTATGTGGGTCCATGGGAACCCTATTAGTGGTCTTGCTGGCTTGGGGGCCACCAAGGCCCTCTTCTCCTCTGCTGCCTCCAAGCAACTCCATCTGAAGGGCACAGCTGCAGCTTTTGCCAGCTCCTGCTCTGTGTGCTCAGCAGTTCCAGCCTTAAAGCGGCCATGGCACAAAATTGTTAGAGCAGTTTTTTCTTTCTTTCATCATGGCTTGTCCCACTTTCATGCACTCTGTAGGTCTCTCCTCCTCTTCCCCTGTGCTCTAGTGGCCCCAGCTTGGCTGTTGTTATTTTTTATATAGTTGTAAATTGGTTGATTTCTGGGAGACAGTGATGGTGGGGACCGTCTATTCCACCATCTTGACCAGAACTCAAAAACCATGTATTTTACAAGCATATGTTTACCACAAATGAAGCTCAGTATCTTTTAACATTATTTGTCATTTTGACTTATTCTGGGAACTGCCTGTTGGTATTCTTTGGCAATTTTCATATTTTCCATTGATTTAAAAGAACTCCATGAGCATTAAGAAAATCAGCCATTTCCTAGCAAATGCTGTAAATATTTTCTCCCTGTTTATCCCTTGATGAGTATGTTGATGATAATTTTTTGCCACCACACTTATGAGGTCAAATTTATTAGTGTTTTTCTTTTTTTTTTCCTTTTTTTTGTCTTTTTTCGTGTCCGGCAACGGACCGCAACCCTCAGTGTCGCGCCC